ATTCGAGGCGGAGCGACGCAAGTGTACGGGGACCGGGGGAGCGAGACCAGACGTGCTTGTAGAGTTTCTGCGATCGACTGTAAAAGTGACAGGTGTGGGAGCCATGACTGGACTCGATGCCGCTGTTGCTGCGTCCTCGGGGATCTTCTCGGCACTATCTTCCTCCTCGGCGACGCGTCTCCCGCGCCAGCGTCGGGATTTGGGGGGCTCCGGCTTGATTTTGGGTTTGATGGTCGCCTTGATAGAGTCTGTTGTTGAAGCCTCCCCTGTGGGATGGGCGTCATTGCGACTAGGGGTGATGACGCCAGGCTTCTCGTGCTGGGTTGCAACTTCCTGCACGCTGAGGGTCGAGCATGAAGCTGGCTCCAGATGCATTCCAAGGCGCTGCACCGCGCTCGGCTTGCGATGCGCATCTGACTTGGGCGAGTCCGCTCCACCAAGTCGGGTGGGTGATAGAGCCCCAGGCGAACTGCCTACCGTGCTTGTGGGAGTACCAGACTCCGCGTCCGTCTGGGCAGCATCGATCGTGGAGTCAAACGATGCAACGCTCTCCTTACGTGTCTCAGTTTCGGCGTCTCGCAACCAGTCGACTGTTGCGCATCGGAGGACTAATCGCCTTGTGGTTTCGTCGGCTTCTTCAAAGTGCAATATTCTCTCGACGTCGCCCTCATTGCTCGATAGCAGGCCCCGGACCAAAATATTGAGCATGTTCTTGAGTTCTTCGCGCTTGTAGTGTGGAGGATACTTCAGTTGCGTGTGAGCGAGCAATGGGTAGAGAACGCGGAGGTACGTATGTCGTAGGGCGGATGCCTCTTCAGGCAAGTCGAGAAGATTTCGAATCAGAATGTCAACCAGGACATGAAGATCATTGGTGTAGAAGTATTCATAGGTGCTAGGGGTTGTGAATATGAGGTATAGAAGCTTGAGTGTGAGAAGCTGAAGAGATGTTTCCGCTAGGAGTCGTTAGAAAATCTGTCACGCCAAAGGAGAATCTCGGAGGTTGGTACCTTCTCTGTTGATGAGGAGAATAATGTTCTCGCCGAAAGTCTTATAGAGATTTCCATGCATGGCCAAGACCTTGATGACCTTGTTGGTCAACGGACTCGACGATTTATCGTCCACAGGATCATGCGCTGAAATCATGAACTGCTCGTTAAAAACCAACTACCACTCGGGTCAGTAACATACTTCAACCCTGCAGGGCCAGCTCAAGCAAATACTCACCAAAACGCGAATCACAGGATAATGGTAGGGGTCGCTGACATCGTAGGAGAGATCTTCGATAATCTCAAAAAGTCCCTTAATAAAGTCATCGTCGACAAGTACTACCCAGCATGCGTTGCATATTAGCCGACTACCTCCAAAAAGCGAAGCCACCTGGAACACTCACCGAGATCCTCAATTCTGATCCGCTGGATTCTGGACATTTCATACAGCAAGTCCATCAGCATGCGATGAAGCGCGGCCTGATTCTCCCCATCCTTTATTTTGTAGACTTGCAAGAGCTCCAGCAATCGCGGGAATGAACCCTCCGCATTCATCATGCGAAAGGACTCCTCATGCTGCCGGCCATCGAACAGAAGGAACGAAACGATCAGATGTAGCGTGTCCGGATCATCCTCCTGCGAAACGTCAGCGGGCCCGATTGCTAAAAGTCTGCATACCGCTCCTGCGCACAAATCAAGACAGAACAACGGGAAATAAAGCCCTGGGACGGACGGAAATCATCCAGCGCATACCTGCAACAAGCCATATATCATCTGTCTTCGTACGTAGTCCGCATGGGCGGTAAAGATACTCGACGCGAGTAATTTATACGAGCAGCGCGAGACCTCGAACGGCGAATTGAGGTATTCATCTGCGATGGCCAAAGTCAAGTCAGCCCTCCATTAGATCGGAGAAATCATTAAAAGCTCGTTTTCAATCCATGCTGCCACCAAATTCCAAAAAAAAAAGTCTCCGCACCTTTGTACTTCGTGGCCAAACTCAAATAAGACCGGAGCGCATTATCGATGAGGTCCTCGGAGGTGCAAGGAGTAGAAACAATCTCTTGAAGTTCTACCAAACACACACGTTAGACGCGACTGGACAAATCTCTCAGATGATGAGAGCAAAGTAAAGCATGAAGAAACAGGTAAAATCTCCAGTTGTCGACCAACCAACCAACCAAACTCACCGTCCCAGAACTGCTGCTCGTTCTCCAGGGAGACCTCAAACTCCATTTCCCACAGCTCGATCGTCGTCGTCGTCGTCGGACTAGTCGTCTCTCTGCACTCATCCCGTCTCGTGCCCGGAAACCTCTGGTTGGGAGGGCTGCTCCGTACGAGGAGGCTGGAAACCACGAGGGGAAACTGGGAGACGAGCGCTAATGATGATGACGACGAATGTGGCCAAGGCAAATCGAACAGGGCGGGCGGCGGGGGACTTGCGGCGATCCACCGCTGTCTCTGCCGTATTGTCTTACTGGACTTCATGGTATACAAAGCGCAGGATATCCTACTCTGTACCACTTTTGATGAGAAGACTTCGCTTTAGAGGTATGGAGAGGCCGAGAATCCATGCTCATTATGACTACTTCAATTCTCATTTCCCCCATACTTTCCTCGTAGCCCTGGGTATCAAAGCCACCACGCTCATTTTGCTTCATCATCTCTTTCATTTGGCAGTCTCTCAGCTATATATGTACACATTAAGTCAAACATTAAATTGGAGCAGTAACGGTAGAATGGATGAAGAAGAAAAGATAACGGGGAGTGACAAGCCAGCCACTGGAAAGAAAATGTCATGTACTTTGGAGATGGTATCGATACTTCTACATCAAAAAAGGAATTCACATGAAGGGGAATATATACCCTGACAAAGAAAAAAAAAAGCGGTTAATAGGCCGGACGTTTCAAGGGATGAGCTTCGGTGTTGCTGCGAGAAAAGTCAGTTATGCCTCTAGCAAGAGTTGCTATCGAATACTTACAGAACATAGTCGTCAAGGCTGACCACGCTCGGGTCGGCAAAGAGAAGATAGAAGTATTTCAGCGTCTCGGCAAGCCAGAATGACTCCATGGTATCCCGCATCTTGGACTTTTCAAGGGTGACATCGTTGATGGCAGAATGTGCGATTTCAGTGCGGGTGTACTTGGATACAGCTTGGAACATCTCCCATCCCTTTTCTCGCCAGTAGTTGTCGCCTGTTATGCGGAACATGTAGAATACGGACTCGATGGCCTCCGGACGAAGGAGGTATGCGCGGTTCACAATGCGAGTGACTCCCGGCGGTAGGCGTTCGTTCATGATTCGCTGGGTGACATATACATCATGAGGGACGGCTTTATCATTAGCATCTTGCTTCTTGATTTCCTCTTCGTCATGGTTGATTAGGTCGTCCGTAGTTGCCGAATCAGCGATGACGTGCCATTTTCCTGTCGACGAGTCACGCCTACGAATTCCATTTGTAGTAGATCTCTTAGTTGAGCTGCTGTCTTTCGATTTCTGCTCGTTGGCTTTTTCCGCGTCCGCGATCCGCTGTTCTTCGTTAGGGTCGAGCGCATTCCAGTACTCGGTCTCGTTCCAGACACACGGCTCGCCCGTCTTGCAGGGAACGAGTAAGAAGTTGTCGGGCATGATGCCCGTTTTGGTGGCCCCATAAGCCCAGATACACGCATTGGTTAGTTTAGTGGCGAGGTCCAGATCCCCCTCGATACCAAATATTTTAGCACCAAGGGCAAACATACCACCCGCAAAGCAGCTCAGATGAGTTCCTTCGTAGGTCATAGAGACACTGTTGGGGACCTGTTCCGCGATAGGGTGCGTCAGGGTCATGGTGCTCAAGAACCGAATATCATGCTCGTCTTTAACCATGGGCTGAAAGAGGAGATGCTCGCGCGCCGTATCCATGGCTTTCTTGTACATCGCGGGGTATTGCTCGTTGAGACCGCCCAAAATCATGTACTCCTTGGGAAGGTACTCATAGGTCGAATCGCCACGGGCCCCGAGCCCGAACTTGTGTTTCGAGGAGGAAGGCGTGTTGAGACCTCCTGTGCAGGCCTTATCACCAGAGCTACCAGAAATCGCAGAATTGACGCTTTCATCCGGGACATTGTCATAGTTCGCCGGCTGCGCGTCGATATGTAAGCTACCAGCGTCGCGCCGCTCAAAGAATTTGGCATAGCTTTGTGCGTCTGTTGGCAACGGCCGTTCTTTTTGCGCTAGTGAAGGTGTATGCGTGAAAGAAGGTACAGGAGGCGCGGAAGAAGGTGTGGAAGAAGGTGAGAAGGGAGGTGCCGATGAGAATGCAGGCGTATGCAGAGGAGTAGACAATAATGCAGACGTCTCGGTATCAACCGCATCATCGCGAGGGACCTCGTGATTGAGCTGTGAGGCAGCGGTCCTGCAACCAGAAGCATCGATTTTGAGCGGCCACAGACCAGGGAGCTTGGTTTGACTCTGCAGTTTCTCGAGCTCGTCAGTGATCCGTGCAACGGCATCGTAGTACTTGTCTTGCTTAGTCAATTGTGCCAGTCGCGTGAACTCGACAGAGAGCGAGCCTATTTCTGCAAGGGTGGTGTCAACATCAGCAAGATGAGGTCGAGCGGCGTATTGCCTGTCGTTTCCACCTATCAGTCAGTCCTTCAATTCACTCAAGCAAAGACAAACGACAAATTGAGGCCTTACGGGGTCCACTTGTAGAACATGGTCGGCATGCGATTAGGCGTATCAAAAGCACCCATCACGATGTCCGCCAGCTCAACGGCTTTCTCGAGAAGCACGTCGTATTTGTGTCCCGAAATATCATAAGCGCCGAGCAATCCTCCAAGATAGCGGATGACCGTTTCAAAGACGGGAATCTCGTCCCTCTTGCTAGTCGTGAAGTCAATCTTCTTCACCTGATCAACGGCAATGGCGAACTCTTCCTTAAGGTCCATGATCCAAAGAGTATCTAAGGAATCCACAAGCGTGGCTGCCCATCCCATGAATGGGTCTCTGAATCCGCCCCGCAGAGGTTTGACCTCATCGTGCCCCATCGCAGAAGTCTTGTATCCATTCCAGGCATGCTCAAAGGCCGCCTTGATGCTCGACAACCGCTGCACCCGCTGTATCTTATCGGAGGTTGTCTCGTCTCTGAAGACAGCTTGCACCTTCGGCAGCGCCTTGGATTTACCAGTCGGCAATCTGATGAGGTCTTCGGGCGCCAGAGGATAATGTTCTTGCATCTGCTTCCAGTGCACGGTAGGTCGATTCGTTTCGGGAAGGTCCACCTCCAGTCGTGCGTGGCCGTGATAGTTCAATTCGTATGAGGGGACTTCTAACCCGTCTCCCTTGGCACGTCCATTGTCACTGGATGATGTTATGGTCTGACCGGCGACCGAACCATCCTTGGACGTTGCTTGACCATGGGCATCGGACGCGAGATCCTGCGGGGTTTTTGAATCGGGAGCAGCGGGCTTCTCTACTTGCTGAGTCTGGGTAGATACTGATTTGGAGGTGGTATCATGAGAGGAGGGAGATTCGGGTGCGATGGGTTCTTTGTTGTCGGGAGCAGCAGGGGGTGGACTCTGAGGGTACGTCTTGGGCCGATCGACAGGCGCGGGGACGCTCAAAGTACTCGCGGACGTATCGCGGGATCGGGAGAAATGAATGAAGATCAGCACGAAGATGGCCGCGAAAACCAGCGAGATTCGATAGCGACGGGCTCGAAACATGGCAGGCAATTGATAGCGACGTGATCACAGCTGAGACACGCAACAAAGGCAAGAGAAATCGAAATCTCAAAAGGAGGGACAAAAGAGGCAAACGAGTGACAGGAATAATGAAGGGATCACGAGACACCAAGAAAAGGCCTTGGAGTCAGAAGAAGAATAATAAAATTCACCAAGAATAAACAAATCTACAAACTGAGCGAGAGGATGGAGGAACCGAACCGTCAAGGTCACTCATTCTACTCCTCTCCTGAGGCCGAACAGCAGAATAGAAACCGCGAACAGGCTCTGGCTGAAAAGATCATATCAATGTCATGACAATCCTCCGAAATCAAAGTCTCGGATAATAAACCAAGAGAGTGATGGACCAGACTAGACTATCTGCTTAGTGGAAGCAAGGAGGGTGGAAAAGAAGCGAAACCAACGGATGCAACAGCCAAGAAATCGCCAACACAGGGCATGTCAAAGCTGAGGGAGATTTAAAAAAAGATGCCCATCCTCACAGTGTCTGATCTATCCCAGTACTTGCAAATGATGATGGATCAGACTGTAGTTTCCTTAGTCCTTTCTCTCCCTTGATATCTACTCTCGGACGCCTTTCTTTGTCCGTGATATCAGATCCATGTCGCACTCGCGGTCCCCGGATCAACATCCTAAAGATCAGCGGTCGGAGTCCAGACTTTTGGACAGATTGAAAAGGGCGAGATTAGCCCGTGGAAGCTGCACAAATGGATGGATCCAGATCCGATGATCCCAGCCCTTTACGTCTATCTACGACCGTGATGAGGATGGCGACTGGAGCTTAGGATGGTCCTACTACGGATACAGAGTAGGTAGATATGGCAGATAGATAATGATCGAGTCCATCATATTCTCTGGACGCCTACAGAGTATGCTTTTAGAATTCATCTCTGCAAATGAGTATGTGTTCTGATGGGTTTACAGAGTAGATACGGAGTACTCAATCCTCAATAATGCTCATTTTATTTGACCCATCGCCGACTACCTTACTGAAAAGAGATAATGATTAGGTACTAACTGATGGGTCCTTCAGTCCTTCATGATTCGTCTATTTCTATTTATATCCAGGGGTAATTTGCATTTAAATCATGGAATAATTATGATCCATGGATTGTGTCTGTAGATATCAGTCCAAGAGACTTCGTCTGCTTCTTGAACAATTGATGACTCGACTGAATAATACTAGCTGATAACTAATCGAATTGCCAGTATGGCTCATACTGGTGTTGGTACTGTACATAACTATTCACTTCGGACTGCACATTCATTGCATGTTGCCGCCTACGGAGTACTATAGACGGACGGACCTCTTTGTAAACCATCCGAGTCAGAGGCATCTAAGACGCTGGACGAATATCATTGTAAGCATTGACAACCACATAAATCTTAAATTCTATCCTGTCTCAGATCGCCATGGCTAACGCTATAAACCAACCGCTGTGCGTCCTCGACTGTCCTTGTTGACCCTCTGGAATTGTTGAATCAAGCCCAAAACGCCGGCACCCCCAGCAATGGCGTCAACATTCTCTCCGCCCTCTCCTGTGTTCTCATCATCTGTGTCTCCCGTCAAGTTCATCCGCCACGAGTCCCCTAGGTTGCTGTCGCTAGTGCCTACACCACCCGCGCTTGATCCTCCAGCGGCATTAGGAGCTTGTCTTGGCTGGTCGCTGCGTCCCGTGGCTACCGGTGACTCATCGCCATCCACTATTGTCCCTGACATGGGAGGGTGCGCCCGCAATGATCTGTACCGCGGAAAGGTTGCT